AATAACCTCTATTATATAATAATTTTTTACTGTCCAAATCTAGACTAATAGGCTAAATTAATAGTTTGATAAATTAATAAGATAATACTTTCCTGAAAACCCTCACATAATTTTGTAGTCTCAACTCTTTTTCATATCATAAGTTAATAATTTGTTTAAATCATAAATATAATTGACTATAATATTTTATTAAAATACGACTATATTGTTGCTTTTCTTCAAAATTTAAATCTAGTTAGATCTCCTCTCTAATTTTTCTTATTGCATTTAAAAGTTTTGGGGTCGAATTCTCGCAATAAAAATTATAAAAAAGTGCTGATGCTTTGAATATTTTCTTGCACACAACGAACTCCCAAGTTATTCATCTTTCTAAGCTTCATCATCAGGATTTTCTGTAATGTTAGCAACAATTTCTTCTAAACTTGAAACCTCTTAACTTGGATCATTTTCATCAACATTATCCAAAAGGAAATTTACATCCATTCTATCCGATAACCTAAATATTTGATTATCATCTCCAGTTATGAATGGCTTATTCATCTAATGATGATTTCTATTTGATTGTATCGAAAGGTCCAATGAATTGGGATTTCCATATTGGTCTACCAGATCATTTAATGTCCAAGCAAAGTTGCAAGATTGATTGCACCTAAAATATTTTTAGAATTTGGGTGTGATCCGAATTCTTTGTTAAAGTAATTGAAGAATTCTAATTGAAATGAACATTAAGAGGAATTGAGTTTGGAAAACTTTTGGAGTGTTATTCCAGTTGAAATTCTATTTGGAAACCCTATTGGGAGTTTGGCTTGGAAAATGACTTTGAGATGAAAAAAACAACTAGAAGAAAAAAAGAAGAAAGGGTAGAACGCCCGATGCTGCTACCGCCACCTGGCTGTTCCATTCTTTTTTGACATTTTTTCATTTTGGATTTGATTTTTTTGACATCCTACTTCATAAACAACTCTAGTAGGAGGGTTTGTACGCCCCCTACACGTTTCCTATAAATATTAAGGGGCCGTTCTCTTCGTGTTTCAGTTTTGTGTTTTGAATTTGTTTTGTGTTTTGTGTTTTGAGTGTCTGTTTTGAAATTTCTGAAAATGCGTTCTTTTTGCCATTCTGAAAAACAGTTTCCGAAAACATAAAAATGGAAAACGCGTTTACTTTGAAATTTTGAGAATTTTTTTAA